GGGGAGTCCTCAGCAAATCCTTCTTCATATTCATACAAAGTCCCCAGATCGTTCCCTCCAGTCCCTGATCAGTTCCCCCTGCCGGTCTTCCTCCCTAGTGACCTGGAGGAAGCCATCCTTCTGCAAGGAAAAGCATGTGTACATTTTGATGGGGTCCTGTCCAACACTGATTTGAAACCTCCTGACCTGGCTCTGCTTGTGTCCTGGCTCATTTCTTCCCAGCCTTGCTCTCTGGCTTCACCTTTCTCTAAGTAGGAGTTTAGCCCATCAGGCATTGCTTCATCCATGTCACCAGTCCCCCACTATCAGCTCGTAATGGGCCAATTTTCTTTTACCTTCTGTCTACTTAGAAAATATCTCAAGAACCTCTGATTGTGTGTTAAAATATCCTTTACAATTCCATGCTTGATATCTCTTTCTGCTCCTCTAATTGTCCCTTTTAACTCACTGCACTTTCTGTATAAATCTCCCAGCCTCCCCCTTCACAGGCTGTTAATAAATACGATCTCTAAAAAAACATACATAAACATCTATTGTTGGCTAAATAACTCACAGCACAATCAAAAAGCCAGGGAAAAAGAGAGATGCTCAGCATGATGAATGCCCACCTGCATTCTCTCTCATTGTCCTGCCTCTGTTAAGAGGGCTGCTGGAATCAGGGTACTTGATGGCCCTAAAAAGTCCACTGGCTCCAGGGACAGAGGGTGCTCCAGGGGAGAAAGAATGAAGTAAAGAGAGCAGGTTTGGGGCATATTGACAGGGCTCCTTCCAAGAGCAGGGAGGGAGAGGACGAAGGAGGCCTAGTGTGGGGAGCAGTGGCTAATTTAAGTGTCATTTCAGTGGGCCCCTTACCTCCAAAAGAAGTGGGTCAGCCTCCTCCAACACACAGCACCAGCCTGCACTGCTGGCCCGCCCCCCGTCTCTCTCCTCTCAGCTCTCATTTCTCATTAGAGCCGTTAGTTTCTAAGCACAGGAGGGTGGGGACAGCTGTACCTTTGTGTCACTGGTTTCTGTGCGGCAGTGCGCACACTAATGGCGTGCCTGAAAGGCAGAATTTGACATTGATACTGCAAAATGCGTTCAGGTCAAGGTGCTTTCCAAATTGGCTGAGGCTTCACACCACCCCCTGCTCCTTCACCCAGCGCCTGGGAGCCCCTGCTGGCCCCAGCTTCTGCTGCTTGCTCTCTCTGAGGGCCTCCAAGAAGAGAGGAAGCAAGACATGTATTAAACTCTTCAATCTCTGTAAGTACCATTTCCCTGGAGATCTACTCCGAGGAAGAAGGAAATGCACTACTTGGGTCCTAAACACAGAGGAGGTGTTGAGGGCTGGCGCCTTCGTGTCACCTTCCTCCTATGGCCACTGCTGGGGGTGGTCATGGGCAAGACAATGATGCTGTCTGAGTGGCAGCACCCAAGTGGCCTTCTCACCGCTCCAGCCAGAGAGAGATTTCAGGGATAATCACCAAATGAGACTTTCTCAGTGTCAGGGGCCAGAAGGACACACCCACCATTGAGGCAGTGGTGGGTATGGGGTGGGCAGGACCCCAAAGGGCACACGTCTACAGTGGCACTTGGAGAGAGAAAGTACAGCTCAATGAGAAGCCATGTGGCCAATGAGTAAGAGACATGGAAAGATGCAGACAGGCGGATGTCATAGATAGAGGCTTTTTATACACATGCATGTGCATACACAAACACACACGTGTGTGCACACATGCACCTTGCTCAGAGATGGCATCTGGTCATTCTCCCTCACACGGCCAAGTGTGGGACACTCATGTAGCCAACAGATCTGAGGCCCCACAAGGTGGAAGGCCCTGGCCAGGCCCTGGGATGCCTCAGTGAAGAAGACAGACACAACATACAGCATACGTTCCAGCCAAGGAGGCAGCAGGTAGAAAAGCAAATCTTCCTGCTTTGAATTTCAAGGTAGTCACAGGAGAGGAGAGGGGTACAGGGGCCTGTCACACAGACATCGCTGAAACATTGGCGCCCAGGGTCAGAGATCTGGTTTGGATCTGATATACATATCCCTCGAGGTTCATGTGCTGGGGGCTCGGCTCCCACGCAGTAGTGTTCAGAAGTGGAGCTATTGAGAGGTGCTTGGATCGTGCAGACTCTAACATTTTCAGTGCATTGATTAATACACTGATGAAATCAGAATTTGACGCCATGATCGGGAGAGGATGGACACAGGAGGTGAGGCCTAGTAGAAAGGAGTGGGTGTGGGGTGTGACCTCGGGAACTCTGGGCTCTCAGCCCCTTCCTCTCAGGCTCTCTGGCTCTCGCTGTCTCTCTGCTTCCTGTCTGCTACGAGGTGAGGAGCCTTGGTGTGCCACACCCTTCACCCCTGAGGTGCTGCCTCACCACAAGCCTAAAATCAATGAAGCCAGACGACTGTGGACTGAAACCATGAGCCCAAGTAAACTTTTCCTCTTTTAAGTTGTTATTCTCAGGTATTTTGTCACAGCAACAGAAAGCCCATACAGGGACAGAGACA